CGGGCCTGGGCCCGGCGGCGGCGGAACTTCGCTTCTAGCCCTTTTTATCTGGAATTCGCCCGTCACGCGTTTTGTCTCGGAACCCGGAAATACCGCTGTGTTGCTGCCTCAGTGAAGGAAAAGTGCAGCAGGTGCTGCAGTGCACAGGTAGGGCCTGGGGGCCATTCCCACTCCTTAGCCTCCGACAGCCATTGTCCCAAAGCTCCGTCCATCCCCAGAGGAGCTTGGTATCTGTAGTAACAGCACACTGAACAGAGCTGAGGGCAGGAAACTCTTATTCTTGGTGTACGGTGTGACCCGTGTGCTGCAGTTCAAGTAACCTGTAGGATGCTCTGGAGTATGCAGGTGTCACTGTGTGACACGGCAGGAGCTGGGTGCCAGTACCAAGCATTCTGTATCCCATTGTGCAAAAGCCAAAAGCCAACGGTCCTGGGCTGGTGGAGGGATGTAATTCATGTGAAGTGTAGGCGATGGGGTCTCGGGATGGGATTTAGCAGAGCTGCTCTAATGGTCCCCCAAAGGGAGTGTGGTATTCAGGGTTAAACATCACAGCTTGTTAAGATGCAGTTGAATGCAATGGTCAGTATATAATCATTACCCCATAGTGACAAAAGGGGAAGAAATACATAAAATGAGAGGTTTAAACTAGGGTGGGTTGATGTTGTAGTTGTGCTTAAGACTGAAGAGCTACTCAATATAATTTCTTGCACTGTTCACAGCTGCTGCCTGATGTCACCATTAGAGCTACAAAGACATCAGATAAGGCACCAAAGGTGACGGGTCGCAGATGAGAACTTCATATTCAGAAGTGATGAGACACTCTGGACACAGGACAAAGGATTTGAAGAACAGGATTTGACAGGTTAGCTGCTTGGTACTTTGGGAAGGAGAAGAAATTTGTGTGTGGAAGTCAGGACTGGGAGAAGATAGCAAAGAGGGTGATTCTGCAGGGAACTAGCAAAATACACACTTTAAAGTGTTAAAACCTGAGATCACAGTTGTCCAGAACACACTCAGAATGAGTGAGAAGCTGCAAGGACTTGTAGCACTGTGCATTCTGTTGGGAAGAGCACCTTTCTTTTTTTATAACTTTTTTGTAAAGACTTATTTTTAACATACCTTGTTTTGTTGTTGGTTTTGATTGTTTGTTTTTTTTTTTAATTTATTTTTTTATTTTTCCCCCACAGCATCTTGTCACTAGCTTATTTACATTTCTTCTTGTTGCATAAACTTGTTGTAAATACATGAGCCATTAATAAGTGATTTTTATAGCAATTTTTATGATTCCTGAGGAAACCAAAGTAACTTCTGTTGCTCTCAAAGCAGACTGAAAAGTAGTGAGCACTGTGAGCACAAACTGGACAGGGAAAGTGACAGCAGGCTGTGGTGGTGAAGGCTGGGATGAAAAGAGGGATTTCAGTTTTAGGAGGGACTGAACCAAGAACGTACCTCCATGATGAGTAGAAAAAAGTTGGTTCAGTGGATTATGGAATGTACATTATGCAAAATGGTCTCACGAATTTTAATTCTCATAGCAGATGCTAGAAATTTCAGTCACTTATACAACAGTATACAATTCTGAGAGTATGCTATATTGTTGTTGTGGTTTTTTCATTATTGTGAAATGAGGTTTTAGTTCTGGGAAGGGAGGGAGTTAAGCTGTTGTATCTTGGATCTAGTGGTTGTATCTTAGTGAATCAGTGTCCATGTTTGCATAGCCATGCATATATTAGCATGTTTTCTCCACTGAGCTAAAACTTCATGCTGTATAGTGGTTATGTAGAAAGTCAAATTACTATGTGCTTTTCATTTCATGATTGAGAATCTCTGGTTCTGTGGCCTACTGCATAAGTGTATTTCACTGGTTTTTCTTACATCTTGAGCTACTTTGGTGCAATTATACTGATAAAAGTGTTTCACAGAACAAAAATTAATTAAATCCAGAAATATGTTAGTTGATACACTGCTTTCCTCTTCCCTCTCAATACAAAGTCAGAATCTAGTGCATAATTAAACATAGCAGTCGTTTCCACTTAGACTGTACTAACTTCTATTTTATAGGTTGTTTTTTTAGTTTAGTCCCCAGGACCAACCTAATGGCTTTCCTGGGGACTTTACATTATTTTCTACCTTCCCCCAGAACAATAACATTTTTTTTTAGTCTTTACAGGGAATTAGCAGCATATCCAGTCTAAAATGTGGCTATTTTTATACTAACATATATTTAGGTCATTCTTGCTTCAATATGTTGTATAAGCATCACATTTTACTAAACTGCTAGCATAGACTCTGATGTAGAACAGTGATTACATTAAAAACACAATTCCTTGTGTTGCAGTTCCATAAAAGAACTGAGTACTAAGTTCAATAGTACAAGATTTACAAAGTTTTGTAAAATTTATGCAAACCACTATATGGATACTTACTTTAATCACTTTCATAGCAATTTATTTTAATTAATATAGCAAATTGTGCATACAGTTGATTGAATTTAGTGGAAAATACTTTGTGGATATGTAAATGGGACCTACATTGTCAAAAAACATAACCAAAATGAGCAAGTAGTTGTTGAGCCATGAACGTAATACATAATTCTTAGCTTTACAGATGTAATTAATACTAACTAATCATGTTTCCAATTGTACACAAATGTTACAGACTTCTAATGTGAAGTAAAATGACTGAGATAAAAAGAGATTAAGTAATAAATGCTATTAGGTCCTAAAACATTTACTCCATTAGCCTAGAGAAATAAGAATATGCAAATATTGAGACTTCTCTAGCTAGTGAAGACATTTGATTATCAGGTTGAGAAAGCAGAACTATTTTCACTACCAAAGATAAAATGTAATTTACATGGCAACTTTAGATAGCAGGGCACCCCCTTCTCTATTCCATCTGTTTTCTCAGCTGCAGCACTCACATATTAAAGAATCTTGAATTTTCGTATTTATGTGCTTTCTCTACTGTATGCTTTTAACATTCACGTTGAGCTTTTATAGCCTGCATGTAAGAGCAAATCTAAGAGAATGGCAATGTTTTTTAGAAGATCATGCTAGCAAGGTCATGGTGTGTAGCATAATTTGGGGGGTTGGAACTTGATGATCTTTAAGGTCCCTTCCAACCTTAACAATTCTGTTATAATTAATATGCTTTATTGACACTTCAGTAAATGTCATCAATGCTGCTGCTGATTTGTCATTATTCTGGTGCATATTCAAGTTACACCCAGGCAAAGAGATTGGTCTAATTTTTTGGCAGAATAGTTGTGGAAAAAACAAGATGATTCTGAACAGCTTCTCTTGGGTTGTCTTCCTGCAATATTCTGTAACTAAGTCTTCTGAAATTGCAGCATGTCCAGTACTTCACATTCATCACTAGAAGAGACGCAGTTGGTTGCATAAGGAATGTCACTTTTCCCTTGATATTTTTATTTATGCTGTTATTCAGTGTCACTGTTTATTCTATTAGTATACTTTAAACCCACAAAAGCTCAGGAAATAACCCTTGCCAACTAATCTCATTTGCTATCACTTGCACAGTAAGGCAGTTATTGCAAAATCATAACACTTCACTGTTCAAACAGACAGGATTTTTATGGCACTCCAACTGAATTTTGCTCCTGCCACTTATTACGGAACATTACCTTTAAGAGAGACTTGCAGCTGGTATTGATGACAGGCAACAAGACATTTGTCACCTATCCTCTTGGGCAACAACTACCCAGGTGCAAACATAAGTTACCAGATGCTTATTAGATGGAAAAAAGGCAACTAATACTTGTTAGTGAACAAAAGTGCTTTTGATTTGGTTTTGCATACACAAAATTTTCAACTCTTATCAGAATCAAACTCAGCTAACCTGCCTCAGACATGGCAATTTCCACAGGCTATAACTGGGAACTATGTATTAAGTGGTAGGATGTGAGGAAATTTTGCAGAAATACTGAAACAAGTTAGGAGTTGCAGAAATTGGTAACTTGGAATTTCTCACCCCCCTGTTTTAAGATTGAAATTAGATTGTACCTGAGCAGATGATACTGTTGAGAGGCTCAGAATGCATTTTCCATGCAGCCTTCCCTGTCATTCTTTGAACATTTATTCCCTCAGTTATGCTGTTTCTTTCTGAACACACACTCAGAATACAAGTAAAGATGCCCAGCAGGGCTAACAGATGCATTCAGCAGTATGCTTCCACACTTTTGCAATTTTAAACAACTACACTGCTTCTTGTGGGTAGAAAGGCAGTTAACATATGTGCTGACTATCAGTACCAACTTACGCATGGCTTTTTATTTATTAATACAACAGTTGCAAACATTGCTAGAAAATAAAGTGTTAAGGATGGTTTAATTTCATAGGATGGCAATAATAGCTGCCATTAAGAATATTCTTGAGTAGAATGTGTCTGAGAGGGTGAGTGTTCATATGACAATAGTTTAATATTTTGTTCTGCTCAAGGAGCTAGGGACATTTTACTGGATCTCAATTTTCAGCACAGAGTGAAAGCAGAATGCTCAGCTCAACTCTTACTGCTTTGGTGATTCACAGCTATTTTGTAGTTGGATCAGTAGCTTATTTCAGAGGTAGCTCTCCAGCATAAAACTAAGATGACTAAATTTGCATATTTGTACTGCACTGACCATGCCTTCATTAGTTCTAACTATAAGACATGAATAATTCTTCACCTTATTTGAACTACCAATCAAATCTAGACCCAGCAAATAACCAAGGGCGGTAGCTTAGAAGTGACTAAACAGTAAATGCTGCAACCTTGTTAAATCATGAAAAATTTATTTTCATTACATATATATGAAGGTAAAAGATTTCAATCAATAGTGTTTTGAACAAGCATTTAGAACATGAACCTGTTAGTATAGCTAGGCTGAAACTTGATGTAAAGTTAGTGTTTTACCTTTATTTAGTAATTAATTTTTAGTGTATATATACAGAATTAATTTTACCATTAGAATACCAGAGACAGTAATATTGCAACATTTACATTCCTCATATAAAATGGTATAATGTACATTTTCAGCTTGGTGTAGATATATAAATATATACAAAATAAACATTATTGTAATTAATATATTCAGACCAGGTATTACTTAACAACATCAAAAGCAGATGCACATAGATTTAAGTGAAAATGGTGAAAAACACCTTTATGACATTAGTGACCATTAGCTGCATATATGTAGTAGTACAGATAAAGGCTCCTCTTTCAAGCCTTCTGTGGGTATCCAATAACTTTAGTAAAAAAAAATAATAATTGAGATGCATAAGATAGTTTTATATATTTATATGTCATGATCAGATGGTTTACTAGCATCCATCTTGATCACAAATGGGTAACAATGTAAAACATACACATTTGTTCAGAGCATAAAATATTGCACAAGAGCAATTTCTTTTGAGGAAAATAATTCCTGTGTTCGTGAACAGCAAAAATGGTTCTTAGGCATTACAGAAATTATATATTTGGAGTTTCTAAATGAAGGAACATTCAGTAATACTGTCAAAACTGTCATCCATCAACTTCTTCCCAGCCTGTTTTATGGCAATGGTATGTCATTAGCAAGATTTGGCAAAGAGAGAAGGCAGATAGACAGTACATATTTATCACAGGCCAAACCAGATCCAATAGGTACCTAAACCAACTGCTGTATAGTTTCAGTTATCTGACAATTTCACCCTTAGAGAAATATGAAAGTCTTCAATGCTAGTCACAGTGATAATCACACAGTAGTAGAGTAAGATTCCATTCTTCTCTGCTTGGAAAGCATCTTGTCTGAATTCTCAGTCTGAAGGGCACTTTCCTCAGTATCACTGTCACTGCTATCTATGACTGTGTGATCTAAAGCCATCTGACCAGTCCTTCTGTGTAGATGAAAGGTCACACCACTCTCCTGTATGGAGTTAGTTATAAAATCTTCATCAGAAGAATGAAATGATTCATCATCTCCTGTGAAATGGTTGACAATGTGAATCCCATCAAAAGTGGGTTGGTCTGAGAAGTCTCTCTGGCCTTTTAGACATTTGATCTGTTAGAAAAAGGAAAAGTTAACAGTTAATCAGAGCTGAAAAGTCCAGCAGTAAAAACCCCCACATTTCCAATAAATGTCTCATTAAACATTTGCTGGAATAAATTAAATGCTAGATCTATGAGTCTATGATCTAGAAGCAGCACATTTGATGATTACTGTGAAACTCATCTGCAATCAGAAAAAGTGACTTCTCATTCCTGTCTGGCCAAGCAAAGACCTTGAGAGAATGTCTTCAACAGTACTTGGTATTTTCCAAAATTCTCCTTCCACCCCCAGAGTATTTCAGTTTTAAGACTTAATAATCAAGGTTCCTATAATCACTTATGACAGATTCCTCCAAGCTTTTTCCTGTGTCTTTAGTATCCCCCCACAAGGATGGTTGATAGTTTTCTAGAGTTTTCTAGAGTGGCCTATTTGTTTTGACAACACTTTTGGCTTTCACATCTTTCTTTTACAGCTCCATTCTTTCCCTTATCACTTAACTTCTCATTGGAGAAAAGCTCTCCTACAATCCCAAAGAGCAAGGTCCCAAGTGAATATTGTCAGTTTCATGCAGTCATAGAAAAAAAAAAACCACCAGAACATGCTTGGTTCTGTCTACACTGCAAGACTGAGCATCTTTTCATTATCTAGTTCAGACCCAATGATGTTTCAGATCAAGAAGCATGTTTGTATGGCAGAAAGAGCCTGTAGTTCCAATTTTAAGAAAACATCAAACAAGACAAAAATTGTCAGGCCATGGACAGATTTTAATTAAAAATGCACTGAAAAATGCACCGTAGAGTGATAAACTATTACAACCATGCATTCAAGTTATTCAGAAGTAAAACCTAAAGGTCTGAAGTCTGGCAAGTCCCCCATTAATTTAGCGAAAATAACTGCAACTGTTGAAAGACATTCCAGACTTTTTTTAGAATTTCACTTTTGCTAGCTGTTAGTAGCAACTACCTCAGGGTCAGTTTGACAGTCCAAGTATTAAGATAAAAACCCTAAGGATGAAGAACAACATTAAAAATGCATTACAGAAACTTCCTAATGTCACTCTGGAAGCTTAAAAAGGAAGATGCACCAAGTGTTATTTTATAAGTGACTTCTCACAGTAGCAGAGACCTGGAAAATACAAAGAAGAAAAAAGCCTGAAAAACTTATTTACACAGAAATCTGAAGGAATGTTCACTTTGATAAAGTGCATGTAGGTCCTTGCTATTAACACCAATAGAAAATTTTACCTGTCCACTTGGGGAAGAAGGAATCCCTGTACTTACTATAGGCTTGTGCAAAAGATGAGAACAAAAAAGGCGTTGAAAAAAGATCACAAGTCAATCCATGCTAGATGCCATCAAATCAAATGTTCAGAGCATGTAAAAGCTCCAGCTTTTAATGTATATCAAAATATCCTTGACAGGAATATGGGTACATCCTGTAGATCTAAACCTTGGTTGTAACTACACATATTAATGTTAGTTTTTTGCATTTTCTTCAGACACAGACTGCAGTTCTTTCATGAGGAAAATGCTTGTGTAAAGGCAAGCAAAACAAAAAGTTCCACACTTGCACAGCATAATTCATGATGTAAGTGAAATTGGCTTATGCCAAATACTAGGTAATGGAAAGTAACATGTATCTAGAATAAAATTTTTTTACTAACTTATATACCTAGACACAGAAAGCCTCATAGAGAGATTGTGTTATTTAAAAATACTACCCCTAAAGATACCCTGCAATACAATCAGATTAGCTGCTGCATGAAGTTTCCAAAACACCTATCAATTTTAGTCACTAAGAAAATAAAACACAGAAAAACAAAACCCAACAATTTCTCTCCACCCTCACCACAGAAAAAAGCTCCACTGTACAAGTGACTACAAATTTCATATTCAAGAAATTAACTATGCAGACTTAAAAGCATATAAGTCATAGGTTCACCTGAAATTATAAAGCTGATACTCAAGGTTAGTTGTTTTGAACATTCAGAAAGCCAAGCCAATGACATCGACTGTTTTCCTGAAGACTTCAACACACAATACCTTTAGATAAAGTATTAAGGTAACAACAAAATCATGGCTTCACGGTCTTAGGCTTTAGTCTTTACTAACACCAAGTGAGAGCCTGGAAAATGCTGTTGGTGAAAAAACCATGAATAGGCACAGCCTCTGCCAATTCCCGAAGTTAGTCTGGGAAAACAGCATGTTATCTTTTGTTATTCTAATAAAAGGATGAACAATCTTGTGACCTTCTAGAAACACTTATTTTGACCTGCAGCTGTACACTTGCCTGCCCTTTACTCCTCACATTCAGGGGGAACAGAAGCTTCTAGGAAGAAACATGAGCATACTGTAGAGAATATATGCAACAAGTCTATGCATGGTCATACAGTTCCAGAACAGATTCTTACTTGGCACTGGTCAGATTGCATCTGTCCTATTCTGCACTTGCTAACTCACTCCTTCCTCATTACAAAATACCAAAAAGTAGGTTCAGTGGAGAAGCACCAAGACAGTTATGGGGCAGGACCTTATATCTTAAGACAACAGTGAACTAGCTCTTTACTGAAATGCATGGTGGGAGAAGAGACAGTGACCATAACACAGAACACAAGGTTGTGTTTGAATAGGAGGGGAAAATAACTGTTGCAAAGCAAGTTAAGAATTAGAATAGATTGTTAAAGAGACTGGAGGCTGTATGTCCTTAGTGGGTTTCAACATACAATTGACGAAGCCCTAAGCAACTTGCTTTGAATTCAGTGTTGATCCTGTTTTGAGCAGACAGTTGGACCTACATGCCTCCCAGGGTCCCTTCCAACCTGAGAGAGATTACAGTTCAGTGATGTGTGAAAAGCATGGGCAGTGGGATGCATATACTGTTCTTCTGGCAGCCATTTTGAGTTTGAGAAATTGAAATACTTTCTACTTGCCAAAATTACTGAACTTGTTAAAAATATTTATGCTGTAATTAAATGCCTTTACATTAAATGTAAACCATGTATCACCATGTGAATAACCAGTTTTTGCAATCCATTGCCTTCACATTCCCAAGCCCTCACTCACTTGTCCAGAAACTGTTGTGGGAGATAAAAGCACATCTTCCTAGCTCTTTCAGCATTCATTTATAGACCAGTTGTCCATGACTGATTTTTTTTATTTTGCTGTCTACCTCCACAGCTTTCTCTAGCACTAAGTTTCAGAAATCCATTTAATTGTTTTAAACTAATTCCTCCTTTTTTCAGGAATTGCCCTCAAATTCTAGTAATGCAGGAACCAGTGTTGAGAAGCAGTTCTTCAGTCATTATACTGAAACTTACATCATAATGCCTCCCCCAGACTTCTCTCAAACAGATGAGTCCCAAGCTTTGTCAGCCTCCCACAGACAGGCAGTACTCAAGATCACTGATAATTTTAGTTGCCCTTTAACTTCCCTACAGACCTTCTTTAAACTCTCTACATTCATCTAGAGGTGTAGAGAACAGCCGTGCACCAAAGTTTTGTAGTGGCAATATAAAAACCTTTATTTTGTTTTTAATGTACTCCCATTGATGCCTAACTTTGCACACACTGAGCCCCAATAATGTCAGAGAACTCTAGGCAACAACTCAAAAATATCTTTCCTGATTTTTAACTACTAATTCTGTGTTTGCCATTGTGTAGGTATGGCTTAGATTTTGCAATCAATTAATTACCTTATTCACATTGAAGATCATATGTCACTTTTTAAAGACAGATTCCTTGAGATTCTTGCCATCAGAGTTTTATTTGAACACAGAGAAAGATTAAAGTAGGAAGTAAAGTATTATACCAAAATCTTGTAGTTTGTGTAGCCAAGTGTATAAAGAGAATGGGAATTCCAACTAAGGACTTGTGGAGAGGGTTGAAGCATGTGCTCCTGACCCAAACACCACCACCTGCAAACTCTAGTTATAACTCTGTCCTTATCATTCCACCTGAAGGAAAAAGAACAGCCCTTTTTCTTGCAGAGTACGGACCTCAGGATCTGTCACTTTTATTCTCTTTTGTACAAAGAGCCATTATTGGTTAAAGCCTTTCAGTTTAGAGCGTGGCCCTCCATGTGAAGGGAACTAGACTCTTTTACCCTGACAAGTGACATTCAAATGAACCTCATCTGTTTCTTACCGCTTTAGTTTTGCAAGAATCTCAAATCTCATCACATCTGTAAAAAAAGAGGTCTGACAAACCCACATTTTGCTTTTAATTCTCAAATCCAGGTCATATTGTCTAGATGACTACAGCTTCAACCCAGTTTTCACTACAGCTTATTAATTTAGTCTCTAGGACGTTTCAAAGGGTTAATAACATTATAAGACCAAAATGTATGTTGTCATCCCTTCAAAAGCCAGCTGAATCAAAACCAGAATCTTAATGTTTGCATTTATATACTTTCTTGTGCCTAAAGAATTTAAAGACAAAGTGAATGTTCTATAGGTCAACACATGAAAATACTTTAATTGTACATACTCTTTAACAGGTAACAGTGTACTTTCACAAATTCAGAAGAGCTGAAAAAAATCTAACAATCAGATCGTTGAACCTCAGAATAAACTTTCTTACCTGATGCTGACTGCCTCATCAAGCCAGGCATGAAGGAGAGACAGTAAAGAGAAATGTAGAAGTTTTAGTACAATTCAAATGTTCTTCCATGGTAAATCACAGAATCACAGAATCACAGAATACTTGGAAGGGTGCTAGTCAGTTGCAAACAAGTTGTGTTTCTAAGCCCCTTTGTTTTTTAAGTGGACATCATACATCGAATTTTCAAGTGGGACTTTGTGAAAGAGAGTTCTACTTAAACTCTGTGAGGCATTTTGTGTTTTAACCTGTGAGGTTTGTGGGTTTTTTTAAAGCTAGGAATTCAGTGGTGGAAACAAGTAAAACTAGAATGTTAGTTTCTTCTCCCTTTAAAAGGCTTCAGTGACTAATCCTTGGAATCTACTCAATTCTGAAGTAAAGAAGAATTTTAACAAAGCTGGCCAATAAATATTCATT